GGGCTAATTTTGGCACAATTTTAATTAAATTACACAAGCCCAAACTNCCCACCTTCTATAAGGTATAAGTTATCCCAATGTTAAAATTAACATCGGGATAACTTATACCTGGTTTGCTAACCAAACTAAGTATTAAAGTGGTATTAAATTTTTATATCACCCTTATACCTTCTTATACCTCACACCAAACGACCCCTTAGTGGTGGCAAAATGGATAAAAAAATAGTTATCCCTCCATATTATCCGCTAAAAAATGGGCTGCATAATGAACTTTTTAAAAATAAGTCAAATATGAATCAGATCCACGTTTATTCACTTAAAAAATAGATAATCAATGGGTTTAACTTTTATATTTGCAAAGACTCAAATTAGGGGTTCCTTAGGAAGACTAGGAAGTCCAAAAAGTAATCATATTCAAGAAGCCATAGATAATATTGATATTCATATTATTCGCCGATTTACCAATTTTCTATTCATACTCAATATGACTCGGGTCGAATAATTTATCCGTTTTTATATTACCCCTTTTCGACCTGCCATAACCGTTCTTACCCGCCTGTTTGCCACCCCTAAATATAATACTCCCTCCGGTCTTCTACAATAAGTGACCAATTTGCTTTTTTATTTTGGTCCAAAATAAGTGTCCATTTATATAATCAAGAAAGAATTCAATTTGTTTTTACAAAATTATCCTCATGTACATATCCCTAAAAAGTTTTCTTACTTTTCACGTTATATATTTAATTAAGGGTAATTTAGTCATACTAGGTATTTTTATGTAAAATTTAGTATTTTCTTAATGGATGTACCAAAAGTAAATTGGACATTTATTATTAGCCGAAGAAAGTAATGAAGTGGCTAGTAAGGCAGGCAAGCTACCACTGGACTCGCGCGGTCCCATTTTGCGTTACACAACCCCAGGGCAACTTAAAATACTGTCTGGCTACCTCATTTAATGAAGCAACTGGCGAGGAGACTCTGATGAGCAGAGACGTATCCAAGTTGAGAGAGATGAGTTTAAAATTATGTATAACAATGTATATTTTTCAAAATTACTTAAGTATTGCACGTGAACCCATGCTCAAAAATTATTATGGTACAATTATTATTGGATGCACCTCTATAAGTAAAATTGGCAGCTCAAGTCTCACTTTGAACGGTCTTGTTTTCTGCATGGAGTATAGATATATATGTAAAAATTATTAGAATTTAAAAAAAAATATAATTTTGAACCTATAATTTTAAAAGTGTAATAGATTAAAGTTAAACCAGTTAAATATAAATTCTAGATCCACCTTTTTATAATAATACGTGGATCCATCCTCTTGAAATCCTGCATCCGCCTCTGACCATGAGTGATAGAATTTGGCACACAATAGTTTGTGATTCCTCAATCCTCACTGTGTTAAATCTTTTAAGTCTGTACTAACGGCAATTTCATTATTAGCAGTAGTTGAGGAGTTTTGGCTTATTGTAACTTGTAAGCTTAATAAATTCCATTCCCTAGCCACTTTAATTATGCTGTTGTAGCATGGCATCACCGCACTTGTTCTTGAAACAAACATTTTTTTGGTGTTGTGGTAGGCATGCAAAGTTAAGACGTTTGGTGCTCCCACCTTCCATTTAGCAACTTGTCTACTCCTGTTTTTTTTTCATAGTCATATGTTCGGGTCAACTTGCGTGCACCTTGATTAATTCCATAGGACATCTATTACCTCCTAGAAGCACAGTTATCGGATAATTCGATCTATCCATCAATGCTTGGATAGATGAGAAGAAATCACTTAGTATTTTTATCGTTAGTAAGATTTAAACCTGGAGCTCATGGTTCTCAACCCACGTCATGGACCACTAAGATCACACCTTTAGGCATGGGCGAAGCCACCTTGAGCAAAGGGTGGTCAACTGGCCACCCTTCACCGAAAAATTACACTGTGTATATAAGTAAAATATTGATTTTAGATATATAAAACCTATATTGAACACCCTTTATCGAATTTTTTTTCTACTTCTTTCAAGTTTGAATACCCTTAGAAACATTTTTGGCTTCGCCACTGCTTAGGTGCACTCGTCTAATCATGCTTAATTCAACTCTCCTGGTGATTGTAACTTTTCATGTTCCTTCACATGGATATTGGTTAGCAAGTGATATAAATAAAGGTTACATACTTTTAGGGTCCGGCAACAAAATTGTGAAAAATATATATCGTAGTTCCTACCTATTCAATTATGCTAGGTGATAATGATGTATGCCTTATCAACAGTTTTTGAATTGGGGTCATTTTGCAGTTGCCAAGACCAAGTACATATGAGTGAAGTAGGTGGAAGATATGCAATTTCATGTGGTATAGTAATTTTCCCACCCAAGCGTCTGCCTTTGATTAATTCGATTCGCTATGTATAAGGTCCATTAAATAGGAAAGCGCTTCTCACTCGTTTATGTGACGCACTACTTTTTCTTTCAAAAGCGTCCAATAGGATGTTGTGGGTAGATGCTTCACTAATCTTTATGGTTTTTATCTTATCTTCTCTAAGTGCAAAGCTCTCGTCTGTAAGAGCACATATGTTGTGACTCAATTTTTTCCAGAATTGTTTACTTTGTTTGTTATATATTTTTTTAGTCAAAACCCAGGTCCATTCCACGTTATCAAAACTCATCCCTAAAAAAGCTCAAGTCACGGTAACATTAGCGAAACATTCATAGGTCGCCACGTGTCGAAGCGGTTCAAGGAACAATAAAGGCTGCGATCGAAGAATCAACAAGGATTAAGGTCGAGGAGTCATCCAAGATCGAGGTCAAAGTCGAACACCTTTGACAGAGTTGTAACAGCTAGTTTCAAGATAGGATATTGAAAAATATATTCTAGTGAATATTCTCTGCACTTGCACTATTAAGGTTTCAAGGAACATGTTCCTTATAAATAGAAAGAGATACAATGATAGTGGACATGAGATATTCATTTTTAAAGAATACACTGACTTTGTAAAGAGGATCTGATCTCCTCACATATATACAAAAACAACCTTTTCATTAAGATTTTGGTCTTGCATTTCCACCATATCCATGAACAACCCAAGTGTTTATAGGCATATCGGTCATTCATCATTGTCAGGAGGAACAATAACTAATCTCATTTCTTTTTGAGTGACTCACACATTTTATTTACCTAAATGTCATTTATTGTTATTTAATGTCATATTCCATCTTTTTAGATAATTGAATATCACTACTTTTGCTCATATTTATCACTATCCGGATAGGATATATTATTTATCTGGTCTTGACACTCATAGCTTTATCTTCAAATATTAATTTTTAATTAAGATTAACTCTTCATTGAACAAATCTAATTGGTTGAGCCAAAAATTAATATTTTTTGGTCAAACAGTTTGGCGCCATCTGTGGGGACTTCATAGTTAAATTTTTAGTTTCCTTTAGATATGCAACTAATGTGAGTCGCTAACCTCACAAATCCCAAGATCTTTCTTTGCACGTACAAAAATTTACATGGCAGGTAACCAAGGAGAGAGGACAAAAATAATGGGTGATCTCCCTAGCAACCTCATGAATGCTATCAACGAGAGCTGTGAAACCCTAGGCGAATACGTGACGCCCACTGCCTCCCTTAGGTGCAAGAGGTCACCTTCTCCCCATCGCAGCATAACAAAACCCAACGGAAAAAGCGCTTCCACGTCCACAGAAGAAGGGACACCAAGCCCGCTCCAAGCACGACTACAGAAACCGCAAGAGCTTGCATAATACAACGAACAGATGAACAGAGCAACCGACCAAACCTTTCGACACCAGGTATAACTCACAATGTTACTAACAGTGCAGTTGATAGCGTCCTCGCTGTCGTTCTAAAGAGGATGGATGAAATGGAGAATGAAAATAAAGCAACCAGAGATCAAATGAAAGAACCCCAAGAACGAGTCGACAAAATACCAGATGCCCCTAAGCTATTGCCAAAGAGGGACACATGCAAGTTCATAAAGTAGCCGTACAATGACGAAGTAGCCCCGCATGCCATATCAAAGACCTTCAAAATGCCTCCCTACCTCAGGATATATGACGGAACGACCGACCCGAAGATCATGTGACCCATTACGTCATCGCCGTGAAACGCAACGACCTCACCAAGGAACAAGTGTCCTCTATTTTGCTGAAGAAATTTGGAGAAACCCTCACAGGAGGGGCATTAACATGGTACTCACAGCTACCAGTTCGCTCCATAGAAACTTTTGAGAAAATGGTCGATAAGTGTTTAATGGCACATGCTGAAGCCAAGAAGGCCTAAACAAGGGTAAACGATATATTCACCATCAAGCAATCCTTTGGAGAAGGATTGAGGGACTTCCTCACTCGATTCGACAGAGTAAGGATGACTCTACCGAACGTATCCAAGGGATGGCGGTTGAGGCTTTTTTAGAACAGATTGAGCAGAGATGGTTCGAGAGCAACTAGAAAACTATTGAACCGATTGATGAAATATCCTCCAACCACTTGGGATGAGATCCATAATGCTTAGTGTGCTGAAGTACAAGCAGATGAGGATGACCTTAATGGATCGACCCATCGGCTC